GCCTTGTTGAACTCCATGAGGTCCATGATGTCTTCAAGTTGGCCATAAATGCGACAACAAATCACCTGCTTGACTCTAGAATTGATTTTCATCCCGTTAGATTATTATATTTCCTCTGTACATGGAAGATTACTTGTATTACTACTTTGTCATTGAAAAGAAGCCTAAAACATGCCATGTTCTTTTGTTAGCAGTGTTTCTACCCAGTCTTTCTTCTCTCACTGCTTGGGTCTTAACTTTAAAACAGCCTTTAAACATAAGGTGTTAGAGAACTTCGGGAACTGAAATTCTAACGTTTCTGTCCCATGAGACTGTTAAGCAATGGTGACAGCTAAATGTTCTTGGTATGTGGTTCTTCCGTTCTGAGTAGTGTTCCCAGTCCCACTGTGTTGTAAGACTTTAACTTGAGTTGTCCCTGGGACAGGAGAGGGGTAGTGCAGTGAGTAGCTATTGTTTGTGGTGCTCTTCTCTCCCCCTGTTCCCGTCTCAGCTCAGTTTAACTGATTGTTTGGGTGTTGGGGTTTTTTTTTGGCATACGGTGGGGTACAGTAAGGACTGTGAGAGTGGACCAGTGTTTAAATCAAAAGCTAAGGGTCGTGATGATACAGTTTTGACTCCTGGTCTTGCAGTAGACTTTATTTAGGTAAGAAATATGTGACCTACTCAGAATTAAGAAGCTAGTTTGGAATTGTTAGAACTATTAAGAGGACAGATTGAGATGGGATAGCAGGAAGAAGTTCTTCACGGGGAGGGTGGGGAGGCACTGGGACAGGTTGCCCAGAGAAGCTGTGGATGCCCCATCCCTGGAAGGGGCCAAGGCCAGGCTGGATGAGGCTTGGAGCAACCTGGTCTAGTGGAAGGTGTCCCTGCCCATGGCAGGGGGGTTGGAACTGGGTGAGCTTTAAGGTCCCTTCCAACCCAAACCAGTCTGTGATTCTATGATCCTATGCCAGAATAATTCCACGTTGAAGTACACCCTCAGTTTCCATTTTCTGTCTTGTTTTCCGGATCCTGTGACATGCCTGGGAGCTTGGAATTGGTGGTGAGGAGACTTGTCTAATAAGCATCTTCAGTTAAATGCTTCAGCCTTCGGTCACCAATTAACGTGACCTTGGATTGTTGTGGGATGGTATCACTGTGGTTTGTATTAACTTTTCCTTCTGCCTGCCGGGATGCTACGTGCACGTCCGCTCCCCTGGGACTCCCGCAGGTTGGTTGTGGCTGTGGAGCAGAGCTGAACTCCTTGAAGTCCTCTCGAAGCCCGCCTCTGAGCTTCATTGCTTGAAATGGCCTTTGTTGTTCGTCCCTACTGTTTGGGGAATCCTCTGCTGCGCTTGGCAGTGTCATTTGTCTAATTGCTGCTTTGTTTTACTGGAATCTCCATGTTGGTTTGTTCTTTGCTATTTTATCCCGTTTTTTTTTTTTTCTCTGCTCTGCCATGTTTTACGGTTTGAAAGCCTAGCTGATGTACTTCTTGCGGCAAGCTGGGAAGCTCCTGTGTTGAAGCTGTCAGCTGGACTCCCACTTCTGTGTGTGGGTAGTGGATTCCCTCCTCCCCGAGATGCTCAGCTGCCATCTCTGTGTCTGCCTGAGGGACACGGCTGAGGAGGAAAGTCAGACTGACAGGAGTAACGCAGAGAGGATTTTCATCTTGTTTTACTCCGTGCCACTGACAGGAAGAAATTAAGCCTACTTATTTGGCAGCTTGTGTGTCTGAGGGATTTCCAGCATTTATCTTAACTGAGCTTTATTCTCTTTGATTCGGGAACCTGTAGCTGATCCCTTTGCAGTAGTTTTGAAAGCCGTGCTACTTAGCAACTGCCGTTAGGGCAGCGAAAGCTTGGCTGGCCGCTGCCCTGGGCTCTGTTTCCAGCTCTGAATTCTGGCTGGGAGGGAAGTAAGCCTGGGGAGCTGAAAGCTGTTACGGGAGTCCGAGGCCTTGCAAATGACAGGAAAGCTGGAGACGGCGAAAGGAAAGAAAAATGAAGTTGGAAGTGACCTTGGCTAGTCCAACCTCCTGTTGGAAGCTGGGGGAGCTTGGAGGTGAGGTTAGGCTGCGTGCGGGCTTGTCCCATCTAGTTCTGAAATTCTTCCAAGAACAGGAGATCCGGTTTCTCTGGGAACCTCTTCTAGTGCCGAACTGCTGTCACGGTGAGAAACGTCGTGTGTACCTGCCCGGAATTTCCCTTGCTGCGTTTTGTGCCCGCTGCCGCTCGCTCGTTGCGCTGCGTGCCCGCGAAGGCGCGAGGAGGGAGTAGGGATGCGGCTGCCTTCGCAGGCAGCCCGGGGTTGGAGCAGGATGTAGGGGCAGGCAGAGAAGAGGAAAAACTGTCTCCAAAGCATGCTGCTCGCACAGGCTTTCCGGCATCGAGGTGGAAGGCTGACACAGAGAGGAGAGAGAGCTTTCATCACCTTTTTGGTGTCGTCTTGTTTGTTGGTGTGTTCAAAAAGTTTCATATTGATTAAAAGCCAAAAGTAAACTTTTCTGAAGCTCCCCTTGTGTTTTTCACTGAGCGCAGTAAACAAATAGCCCAATGAATTCTGAGTACTGATAACGTTGGCAAATATTTCTGGTGTAGTAGAACTGTTTGTGCTTTGTAATTGACTCACGGATGTATTAGCCGGAGTGCTGAATGAGCAGGAGGCACTTGGCTTTCCGCAGAAACACGGCACGAGCGGTGGTTTTGCTAAGAGCGCAGGTACACGTCGGGGTCCTTCAGCATCTGGGTACAGCTGCTTTGAAGTGAAGAGTGAAGCTTGCCAGCAGGAAGACTTGCTTCTAGGCGCGACCCGTTAGTTGGAGCTGTTGTTTCATGAGACTGACGTTAGTCACGGAAGAGAGGTACCGTTGTATAGGTGTTGCCGCAATCCCTGGTTTAGGCTGAAAACTAGGAAGTGTTCCAGGCTGGCTGGAGGGTTGTGTATGTGATGGTTGTGTTCAGGGCTGGAGTTTCGCGAACGGGTTAAATCTCTGCTGCTACCAGAAACAACAGTTTTGCCTGCCATCGCCGGCTTTGGCTGCCAGCTCCTGCCTCCAGGTTGCCCTGTTATCCTGGCGTGGCTGTTACATGGCTCTAGAGTGAACCGTGGCAGAATGAACCGGGGTGAAACGACTGGTTGGGAGGTGGGTTTTGGCTTAGTTATGTTTGAAGTAGTCTGGTTTAACTTGTTGCCTGGCTGCCTGTGGAGGGGACGAGGAGGTAAGGAATGCTGGCGTGGGGGATCGGTGAGACTGGGGAAAGGCAGGGCTCCAGGCTTCCCTCTCCGGATTTTGACTTTACAACTGACTTTCTGCCAGAGAATGTGTCGGAATGTTTCAGCCCTTCAGTTGCGGGCATGCAGATTTCGGATGATTTACAAGAGTTGGAGGCTGTGCCGCTTTTCTAGGCGCGTGGTGTTGCTGTTGGTGCCAGTGAACCCGCGCTTGTCCTGTCCAAGAGGCAGTAAATCTGAACGCGAGCACCGCTCTTTCCGTGGTGCTAGAGGTGGAAAGGGAAGGAGGGAATTGCTTCCTGACCCTTCGGGTGCACTATTCCAAGTCCTGTACTCTGGAGTCAAGTTTCCTGTTCATCCCACCGAGATGGATGGGAGGGATGATTTTAATTTGGGGGTGGCTTTTGCACTTCCCTAACTTTGTTTACACCTTGTGTGAATGGCAAAACTGGGTTTACGTTGGGCACTACCAGTACAACCTGCTCCAGTAGCGTATTGCTTTCTTGCTTTGTGATGTTTCTGGGTTTTTTACTTTTCCTTTTTTTTTTCCTCTAATCTTCATTAGTTATCTTGCTGTTGGAAGAGCTGCAAAGCAGTTCCTGTTAGTAGATGAGGTTATCTTTAATTTTTCTGAGCTGATACAACACACGAGAGTTTAAGCTTGTTTGTTTTTTACTGGGTGAATGGACTTGATAATATGTATTTTAACTGGGTATTACGGGTTTTTTCAGTGTTTGGTCCTGGGTTTTTTGGTACTTCTTGTGAAGCAGCTCTCTGTATATCAGAAAGGTGACGAGTGCTTGTGAAGACCCTGTCTCCAAGTTATTATTGTCTTGTCACACAAGACAAAAGCATAAGCAGGTCTGCAGAATGGTGTCAGTCCTCTGTGAGAGCTGCTCAGGCCTTCTGAGGGTAGAACTGTTAAATTCTGCTGCCCCGAGGGAATAAGCTGTCTCCTCCGATTCAACTCTGGTGAACAGGGATGTTTTACCTTACTGTGTTTCCTTTGTAGGTACGTGGTGAGGTGACAGCTGTTGAACTATGGCCTTCAACAAGATTTGGTTTGCCGTAGCCCTTGGACTTCTGCTGCCTTTTTCTTACGCCCACACGGACTTCTTCACTTCCATCGGTGAGAGACACTCTGTTATGTGCTGCAGAGCCGAAAGAATTCCTTGTCGGCTCTCAAAACTGATTCTGCAGGGATGTGTTAATGGCGCTCGAGGCTTTAATTAGTACAGAACTCAATCACTTGCAAGTTCTTACAGCCTTATTGACTTTGGTGTTTTGGGAGGAACGTGCTGTGAGTTAAGTCAGTCCGGTTAGCCTAATGACCCAGCCTAGGCTTTGTGTTCGTTACGTATTCTTGTAGGTATTGACTTCTGAATAAAATAGCGGTGTGGGCTGGCGCGCGCGTGTAGAAGCAAGGCCAGCGGCTGCTGAGGGTATGGGATGGTACCAGCATGTCGCCTGCCCTCTCGGGTTCGGATGGACTGTGCCACTTCACCATGAACCAGTTCAGCTGCCTCCTTGCAGGAAATAAGGCAATTATTAATTAATAACAGAGTCTGTTAGGAGACCTGCTGGAGTCATGCAAGTGGTCTTAAAAATAAAACGCTGGATCAGTACTGTGTATCAGACATGAAGCCTCTGTGTATTTCTGTAGCTTTGCCTTTATTTGCTTTACATTATATATGCTTGGATGAAAGATTACTCTGTTGCAACCTACTTCCTTTTCCAAATGAATCCTCAATTAGTTCTAATAATAAATATGCGCTATTACATTAACTTCCATGGCAACGAGCTTGGTCTGACGTGAGATTTTTGTCCCTAAAAGAAAAGCAAGAAGCTTCACTCAAGGACTTCTTCCGGATAATTTAAGCAAATGCAGAAGGACTTTGGGGAAGGAAGAGCTGAAGAAGGGAAGAAAGTAGAGGTGTTCTTCCCCTCTTCTGATTCTCAGTTCTCCCTTTTTCTTGGTTTGTCCTTGTCTAACCAAACTCATTTGTTTTCTAGGTCATATGACAGACTTAATTAATACAGAAAAAGATCTGGTGGTGTCACTGAAAGATTATATCAAAGCAGAAGAAAGCAAGCTGGAGCAGATCAAAAAGTAAGCAGCATCTTTCGTAATGCTCATAGTTAATAATTTGAGTCCACCCTTATGTAAAATGTGCTTCCCAAGGCTGATTAAATTTGTGGTATTTTTCTCTGGGGCGAAGCTTAAACTAGCAGTGTTTGCTGGGTTTTTGTCCTAAGCTGTTATCTCCGAGCCATTGGTTTGTTTTATCCAGCTTTCTAATGGTGAAATCTCATCAACCCACTTTCTGTGCGATACCTTCGTTTTAGGACTCCTGCTTCCACATAATTTCCAAGGGGATGTGGTTCTTCAACTGACATTCCGCTTAGCGGAAACTAAAACCCAAGAAGCCTCCAAACGAGCATTACAAGGGCTGCAGTGACACATGAAATGTAAAAGCTCTACAAACGTTGGTGTGGCCGTGCCGGTCGTGAGTGGATAGTAATTACTCACCATGAGAGCAGAGTCTCTTTCTACATGCTGTATTTAGATTTAAAAATGACACAAAGCAGAATAAAACTTTTTTACCGTTTTTAAAAACAACAAGAGGCCTGACCGTACAACGTTGCTTCGCTCTATAGGTGTGAGGACCAGAGCGCAGTATGTCTGATTCTGTCAGAGCCAGAAATAACAATTTTTGTATCACTGAACGGGATGGTTTCCCAGCTTTCAAAAATGGGTATAAATCCATCATGAGGATGTTTCAACAGTTTTAGACGCATGAGTTTTATTTTAGCCTTTGTGTAGTGCGTTCTGCCACCCAGGAAGAAAAGATACTTCTGTCAGACTGTATTTATTTTTATCACTTAAAATACAGGGTTGGAATTGCTCGCAGGTTTGGAATGTTATGAGTACATTCTTTACAGCCCCAAATTAAGATGGGAGCATGCTGATAGGACAGCTGAAAATGTATAGATACAGCTTGTCATATAAGCATCAGAGCTCTGCTGTTACTACATCAGTGGTCAGAAAAGTTAAAACGACACTCACGGGGAGATAGAAGGACTGGGCAAAGTGCCAGCATTGTTTGAGTTTGCTGGGCTCTGTACTTGGGCTGAAGGATGTTGGTAGGTTGTGTTGACTTAAACTCAGTGAAAGCTGGTAATCCACGGAAACGCGGAGGGTGGCTCACACCTTGCGGGTGCTTTCGTGGTGGAGGGTTTTAGGAAGACGACTGGAGAGGCGTGTTGGCCGTGTCGTTGTGGCTCACGGTTGCAGTGACTTCCAGCCGCTCATCGGGTTTGATAGCCACACGGTGGGGAAAAGCATTTGACCGTGTGCAGTGGGAGTGCTCAACTTGTTGAAACTGGTTCCTTCAGTCTTCAGCTTGCTAGAAGCTGGAGGTGGTCCACGAGAGCACTCTGGGCATCCCGTTTGGCAGGGAACCCCGTCAGTCACTTGGCTGCTGGCTAGAACCCAGGCAAGGGGTGTCCAAGCCTGAGAAGGCAACTCGCGTCGGTGTGGGAGGAGGCTGGTGCCTCGAACAGCTGTAAACACCTACCTGTCTCAGGTAGAGCAGGCCAACTTGGTTGAGGCGTACCAACTCCTGGAACTAGCTGGATGGCGGCTCGTGTACGGAGCTCCCTCCAGGCCTCAGATTTTGTAGGTGCTTTACATTGGTGTCAGTGTTTGGTGTTCTCTGTGGGGTGTGGCTTGTTTCGTGTACCCTGTTTTCAGGGCGTTGTTACACGTCTGTGTCGTTGGGATGGAGAGGGGAGGTTGTTTTGCAGACATGCGGTCGCGTAGCGCCGGTGCTTGCAGCGTGACTGGTGTGCGTGCGGACTGGGGCCGGAGCTGGCTTCCATTAAAACGACAGGTCAACAGCCGTGGCTGTGGAAAGGTGCCCTTGTTTGGGAGTGCATCGGCGTTGTGGGTGACTTAGGCCCGTGGAAGCGTTAGAGAGGTTGGTGGAGTCGGGACCGCAGCACCAGAAAATCGTTTCTCCCTCGCTCGGGAGCCTGAGAGCTACGTGCTGCCTAACGCAGGCTTGCTGTGAGGGCAGGGGCTCATCATAAACTGAAGGGCATGTGTCTGAAAGCAAAATAATGGGAGACAAGTGTTCTGTATTTGAGCTACCTTTTTGTAAACTTCAGGAAAACGTGCATTTACAAACATTTTTGATCTCTTAGTTTTAATGCTTTGGTTTTGATTAGTCCTGCATGAAAACTCGCCGTGAATCTGCTGGCGTACTGCGTTTTGGTATTTGTAGGAAGGGGTTCATTCAGCAGCGTTCCCATGAAGACCGCAAAAGCAACACTGGATTTAGGCTGCAGCTGAAGAAGATGATTTAAAAAAAAAAAAAAAAGGCAAAAAGCGCCCCTTTTGTTCCTTCCAGGAGCTTTATGTATAGATGATGTCAAAGCTTGTGATTTGTGCTGGGTTTTTTATTAGCAAAGACTGTCGAGTAGCTTGAAATGAGTTTTGTGGTGCATTGGCAGACTTTTGTACAAGAGACCTTAGTGAAGGTGTATTTTCACTACAGATGGGCGGAGAAATTGGACCAGCTGACAGCGACCGCGACGAAAGACCCAGAGGGGTTTTTGGGACACCCTGTAAATGCGTTCAAGTTGATGAAACGGCTCAACACGGAGTGGGGTGAGCTGGAGAACCTGGTTCTGAAGGACATGTCCGATGGTAAGCCTGCCTGTAGTCAGAACAAGGGTCACGCTGTAACTGCGTTTGTCTTCCACGTGTCATGGTTGGCGTTAGGTTTAAGGCTGCTTTCAAGGTGCACTCGTAGAAGATAATCCTGGGAGACCTGCCGTTTTGTTAGTGTAGTAAACACT